TAATTAAAAACGTCAAACTTGACGTTTTTGTAATTAAAAAATCAAAAAAATTAATTTTTCTAATTAAAAACGTCAAACTTGATGTTGTTGTAATTAAAAAATCAAAAAAATTAATTTTTCTAATTAAAATAATCTTGATTAATAGTATTAAAATAAATATTTTTACGATACAGTAAAATTACAGTTTTTCTGTATAAAACTCAAAATTGGTATTCTAAATCTAACTTTTAAGATTAATTAAAGTTGTAGACCTAATAAAGTTATACATAATTACAAATTTACAGACTTATGTAATGAATGGATAAGTCTCACACCTTAATTTCGTGCTTAATTTTAACGATTTTAACAGTTTATCTATGTATGACTCAAAAACGGCATTCTAAATCTACTTTTTAAGATTAATTATATTTGTAGCCCTAATAAAGTTACATTTAATTGCAAATTTACAGACTTTACGTAATAAATGAATAAGTCTCCCGCCTTAATTTCGTGCTTAATTTTAACGATTTTAACAGTTTATCTATGTATAACTCAAAATTAGCATTCTAAATCAAACTTTTAAGATTAGTTAAATTTGTAGCCCCGATAAAATTACATATAATCCTTGCATTTGGGATCTCTTTAATTAATAGCTCCAGAAATATTAAAAAAGTTCATAAAAGTCAAGAAAGTTTTGTGCTACGCAAAACAAATGTTTTACTTATAGATCGGCATAATGCATTTCTTCAATTTTAATATGAAAATCAAGTTTACACCACTTTTGATTATATGTTAACTACATGTTTTTACAATATAACATCCCATAATTTTATCATGCAAGATACATTATGTTATATTCTTTTTATAAATCAATTTATTTTTACTGTTGCTATCATTTGCAACTTACCCAGGAATGAACGATTTAAACCATCCAATATATTAACATTGGCATTAATCCCAGGACCAAATGATCCATCATTACATCGCATAAATTGCTCTGGTGCTATATTGGGAATTTTCTTATAACAATAGTTTTAAATAATCTTAATTATAAGTAAAAAGTGTGTAAAATTACTGCGCCACAAAAATAATTAATTTTACTTATAATTAAGATTATTTAAAACTATTGTTATAATAGTAAAAATAAATTGATTTATAAAAAGAATATAACCTAATGTATCTTGCATGATAAAATTATGAAATGTATTAATCTTAAAAAGTAGATTTAGAATGCTAATTTTGAGTTTTATATAGAAAAACTGTAATTTTACTGTGTCATAAAAATATTTATTTTTAATACTATTAATCAAAGATTATTTAAAACTGTTGTTGTAGCAATATTAATAAATTAATTTTTTTAAAAAATAAAATATTTGTTTATTATGGTATTAAAATATTTGAAAAATTATACCTGTTAGGATGTAATGTTATATTATATATAAAATTAAATATTTTTTTTTTTATACATATATAAAAAATTTTAGAGCACATTATCTTACTATCTAGTGATCAGATTTTATTGATCTTTGACTTATTAGATTCATCTTATTAAGTCAAATCAAATGTTATAATTTTATAATTATTAGATTAATATTTATTATAAGATATCAATTGAAGTACTGTTAATTTTATCTTATAATCTAATGATCAGAAACTGATAATTTATAGCTCATTAGATTTATCTTGTTTAGACAAATCTAATGGTTATTAGATCATAAAAATTGGATTATTATTGGCTGAGATATTACGGTTTGAAATTTTAATAGCAATTCAAGGGACATGCTTGCTGACCATAAAAAATTTAATAATAAATAACAGGTTTGCACAGTTTTTAATTGATTTAATAATTAAATGGTGCAAATCTGTTTTTTATTATCTAATCATTTAACAAGAAATGGTTCATGCCATTTCTTTATTAAACCATTAAAAAAATGGTGCATACCCATTATTTGTTATCAAATTACTAATTAAAAATAATGGGTTTACACCATATTTATTATCAAATTGCTAATAATTTAATAATGTAATAATGTGAACTCTTAAAACTTCATAGATTATATAAATTAGTTCTAACCCTTACAATTTAAGGGATAGTTAAATAAATTATAATGTTTAAAAGCTCACTAACTTGTACTTAATTACCCTAGTTGTAATACTAACGTATAATTGTTAGTAATAGGATCTTGAGTAATTCCAAAACATTTAATTATACACATATAACCACTAACTTCGTTAAAAAATTTTATCTACAAATATATAATTAAATATTAATTTTGTAAATTAAAAAGTAATTTATTTTATTTTTAAATTCTACATACCTCATTTAAAAAATCTTCACTTATATTTTCTGAATTATTCAATACTTTTAAAGCGATTGTTGTTGATCCATTTCTTTTCCAACTGTTAGACAATTGACTCCATTTTCTAATTTGTCCATCTAACCATATAGCTGAATATACTTTTGCAAAACCTCCTTTGGCAATATAATTTACATTTGTAAATTTATCATATGGAACCCATTCTAATAATCCTTGTCTTCTAACTGAAAGTTGATTCTCTCGTATTAACTTATCAATAATTCCATTTCCACTGGTCCACTTATCAAAATCTCTCTGAAAGCATTTAGAATTACAAGATAAACAACCATCCAAATCCTCATGTATCTTAAAACATTCTTTACATCTTCCAAATTCCATACGTCTCTTTTCATTAATATCAATTTCCTTATCATAACAATCACAATAAGAACGAAGTTTACGCCAACAATTATTTATTCCATTATATCTTATATTATTTATAAGAATTTTCTTATTATCTATATAATATTTTGTGGTTTCGAATTGTTGTATAATTTGTTTAAATATTCCCAAATTACCATTTAATTTAAAATAAACATTATTGTAATCCTTTAAAATCAATTGCAACTCTTTTAATTTTCTTAATTCTTTTGTTTCTTTATTGTATATTTTAGAATAAAAATATTTATAACCCTTTAATTTAGATGATAATTCTTTTAATTCTCTTATTTCTTTATCAAAACACTTATAGCAATAATTATAATGATACTTATTATTACACTTCTCACATATAATGTAATCACAGTCTTTGTATTTTACTCGTCTATCATCTTCAAATAAATCGTAATCTGAAGTTTCACCCTTTTGTTCTTTAATTAAATAATCGTCAATAAACTTATTTTCAATAATCCATTTATTAAAATCTTCAAGAAATTGTTGAAACTCATAAAATGAACAACAATTATTAATTTTTCCTATAAAACATACTTTGCATTTATCATTTATCATCTGATTATTATAACAATGTTGACAATTATAGTAACATTGCCTATCGATTTCCTTAATACACTTTTCACATAAAATATGATCATATTCCTTATATTTTGCTTTTCTTTCTTCTAAATTTAAATGATAATCTAACGTGCTAAAAATTCTAAAATTTGGTCCGCATTTCATAAAACATTTTTTATTAATATCAGTTTCTTTATTGTTATAGCAATAAGTGCAATAAAGATGTTGTTTGCTAACTTCATTATTACATTTTTCACATAAAATACCATCAAATTCCTTATATTTTGCTCTTCTTTCTTCTAAATTTAAATTATAATCCAACGTGCTAAAAATTTTAAAATTTGATCCATATTTCACAAAACCTTTTTTAATAATATCAGTTTCACCAATGTAACAATTAATGCAATAATAATCATTATTATCTGTTTCTTTTTTACATTTTTCACATAGAATGCAATCATAATCCTTGTATTTTACTCTTCTTTCTTTCAAACTTAAGTTATAATCTGATGTTCTAAAAATTCCAAAATTTGATCCATATTTCATAAGATCTTTTCTAATGATATTAGTTTCTTTATTGTAACAATATGAACAATAATAATTGAGTTTTTTAATTCTATTATTACATTTGTCACATAGAATTCTGTCAAAATCTTTATATTTTGCTTTTCTTTCTTCTAAGTTTAAATTATAATCTAATGTACTAAAAATTCCATATTTTAGTCCATACTTCATACCACTTTTTTTATTAATATTAGTTTCTTTACTATAACAATCTGTACAATAATAATTTTGTTTATCAATTTCTTTATTACATTTTTCACAAAAAATGTAATCATAATCCTCATACTTTGCTTTTTTTCCTACATAATTTAAATCATAATCTGATGTCTCAAAAATTTTACAAGCTGAACAAATATAAGAATTATTTGATTTAAAACAAAATTTACATATTCCAAAATTCATACGATTTTGTTCATTACGATCGGTTTCCTTATTATAACAATTGTAACACGTAAAATTAAACTTTTCAATTTCACGATTACAATCTTCACATATGACATGGTCATATTTCTTAAATTTCATCTTTCTTTCATCTAAATTTAAATCATAATCCAATATCTTAAAAACTCCAAATTTTGATTCAAATACATTATTACTAATAAGTTGGATGTTTTCTTCGATATTCTTTTCTACTGACATGATAAGTGTTTTTGATTTGACAATAATAGGTTATTGTGTAAAGTCAATTAATATAATTGTTTTTTAAGTATTTTTTAATAATTCACGCAAAAATTTTTTTGATGAATAAAGAAGTTATTTATAATAATTTATAATGAACAATCAATTTTAGAATGAAGTTGTTTACAATTGTAACATAAATTTTAAAGATAAAAATAATCTTTAAATGTGATTTTAATAAACTTTCCATATTTATTAATTATTCTGGAGAAAAGTTGGAAACTTGCTAATGAATTCTTGATTTCTTGGCTTTGTTGTTATTGACAAAAATGACATGGTAATAATCAGCAATATGTGAGATGGATGACAAGAATAAACAAACCAATTTTTGTGTCGATCATGATTCTGAATAACCAGAATGATCGGCCAATTAGGAGTGCAGCAGTATTTTGCGGCAAAAAGTGGTAAAGATTTGCAATTTTTAAATAAATATTGATTTTAAATATGATAACATATTATTTATATTGTTATTTATACTGATAAATTAACAGTTGTTCCGAATCCGAAATTTGAATTGCAGAGTTTTTACAGAAACGCCTGGACGTTGCCTTTTAATTATCACATTTTACAGTCATTTTACTGTACATTGCTATGCGATTAAAAACGAGTCACTAACGACATACTTTAAATTGTAAATTCTCACGATCTCCTACAATAATGGATTAAGTTGAATGGTGATCTAGAAGTCTAGAAAGAATAGCCACGGAGTTAATAACATTAACTCGATACATTATGTGTATTAACGTGCATCATTGGATTCCAATTATTACGGAATTATTACCACATGAGACTTTTTATAATAAAAAAAACCCTTTTAAAGATGCGTTAAATCCATCAATTAATTTTTACAAAGTATAACATTATATATAAAAAAAAGAACTGTAGTTTGATATTGATTACATGTTTTTCGTTAAATTAGAAAAAGAATGGGTTAAATTGTTAAATTGTCAAATTGTTAATTTTGAAAAATTAAAAACATAAATATTGTAACAAAATTAATTCCTAGAAGTGATAATAACAGGAAAATTTTCTCAAATACCACATTTTCATCATTTTATCATTTAATTCGTAATTCATGTAACAATCGGAGAATCGCCTCGAATATTCCAATCTGCGTTTCTTACATAGGTAAATGTATCGATTTTTGACCAAATCGATTGAAATTTTTACTGGAAAAACCTTGGCATTTATTCTACTATATTCAAATATTCAAAATAATCTTTACAAAACTTAATGTTTCGCAAATAATCTTTAAAAGTTGTCAATTAGCCTAAATTTTAGCAAAATCGCCCCACAATTTTTTGATTAATAAAAACATTAGCTAACGCTAAGGTTTCAAATTTTATACATACATACTTTTGAACATAAATTAATAGATTATTCAAAAAAAATTAATTTTAGGGCTAACAGCTTCAAAACCTGCAAAAATCGGTAAATTTCGTAAAATTTCGTAAAATTTCATTTTTTTTCATTTTTAAAATTAAATAATTTCATGAAAACGAATTTTAAGAATTTAAGAATATAACCCATCTCCTAATTTATATATTCTGAACATACTCAAAACATTTATTTTCAAATCACTTAGAAAAAATTTTTTCACTTATTGCTCCGATTGGTACACGAATCACGAATTAGTAATAATAATATTTAAATAACCTTTTATGTTTAATCTTAATTTTTTTCTTTACCATTTTTAGTAAAATTTCTGAAATTTGAACTCTTTTTCTAAACGGTTCCATTCATTAACATTTTCTGATAACTGAAAGGAATAATACTAGTAGTCGAAACATACTTCCTGAAAAACATTTTCTTAAAGAGTACGAATTGGACCATCCAAAAAAAATGTATGAATTAGACAAAGAAAAGATATACGAGATAGAATATAGAAGGAAAATGAATAAACAATCTATAAGTTAAAAAATGGTGTTTGTGTGACTAACGTTTAGATTATCCTGTATAAATTAATTTTGAATTGCTGATCCTATTCTTTATAGTTAAGACCCGCTTGATCGGCAAGTAATGTTGTACATCTAATCCAATTCCGGCTAATGAAATTCTAAGGATTTTTTTTTTTTATTTTTTTTCGGTTTTTTTTAACCGATCTAAATTTTGTCGGTCGGTCTTTTTTTTAGACCATATTATTAATTTTTTTTTGAATTTTTTTTTTTGGTCTTTTTGGACCAAATTATTGTCCTTTGTTTTCAGAATTTTTTCGGTACATATTTTTTTTAAACCCGATTTCTTTCTTTATCCTTTTTCTTTTCCCCTAATTTTTTTTTTCTCTTTCTTTTTCCTTTTCGGTTTCTTTTTTCAACCCGATTTTTCTCTTTGTTCCTCCCCACAAATTTTTTTTTTCGTTTTTATTCTTTAGGAGTTAATCAATAGTGCTATGAATCTGATGATAAAGTACTTTTAAGCTTTATAATAACAAATTAGCTTCTAAAATAAATAAAAGTTATATTTGGAATTACGTAATATTATGTCTCTACTCTCTAATTTTTATTGGCAATATTAAAGTTCCTAATTTAAGTAATTGAACTAAAAACTTAGTCTTCATCGTGAAATTCGATAAACTGGGCCTATCAGTTTCCACTAAAAATATCCGGTTTATCAGGTTGATTTCCCGACAAGACATTTGCACGAACACGTGATCAAACGGCCAGCGTTAGGCTGTCTGGAGAATGTCCTGTCGGGAAACGGTCCGTAAGGATCAGGGTATCCGATATTGCAAAAAATTATTTAATATACTGAATTTCAAAATATACTGTATACAAAAAAACTAATCTACAATATATTTTAACTTTTTCATCTTAATTTTAAGTGATAAAGATCATGAAAATGATGAATAAAAGAATATGAAATATTTTTAATTGAATATAATTAAAGATTTTTATAATTCTGGCCAAAATTAAGATGCATCACGACTTCAATTTTATTGGTTTCTGATCACGTGTTTAGATATATCTGTTGGTATATCAAAACTATTCCATTCACTGTACTATTTATTAAAAGTTGAATTCTTCAGAGGTCAATTCAAAATGTATATAATAATTATAATTTTTTTTGCAAATATTCATAAACTTATTCAAAATTTATCACTGACAATCAGATCTCATAACGTTATTGTCCGGAGCGTAGCGAAGGACTATTTATTGTACGGAACTAGATAAATTTGTAGTACCGGTTTAACCCATGTAATTTTTCCTTCCTTCCACCTACGTCATTACCACAATTTCCTTTTTGAAACATAATGCCCCTGCTTATTTCCCTTTATACTTTTTATTTTTAGTAACATTGTATGCAATGTCCTTGATTACTTGATAAAGCAAAATGTATCATGTTCATTATATAAAAAAAAAAAGACCCCGTATTTGAAAAAATTTTGTCGCGTCGCGTTACTCCGCGTATCACATCTGATAAGATCAATAATCAAACAAATAAGTCACATGAAAAAAAAAAGTACTTTCCTATTTCCTTCGTCTTACCCTTCCCCTTACTTCTCTCACTTTTTCTGGTGTTTAGTTTCCTTGAGCGTGATATTTCAGGTTTTCATTTTTTTTTTCTTTAATTTTTTTATCTTGATGACCGGTTTTTAACATTTTTTTCTTTTTTAGGCATTGTTTCTTAGCCCTTTGGATACATAGAAACTTGGTGAGAACATCTGCAAATGTATTTTTTCGAATTTATTTATTCTAACAAAGCATTGTTAACATTCAATTTTTCTCTTTTTTTAGATGGTTGATGTTTAAAACAAAATACTGAAAGTTACCAGCAGCGCCAAGGAAAAATGGTTTTTTATGAATAAATTTTGGTGTAAACTTGTCTCTTATACACATCTAGATGTGTATAAGAGACAGGAATTNCTTGGCCCTTTCAGACTTTTTTTTTTATTTTTCTTTTAATGAAATGTTACTAATAGTTCTTTTCTTTTTTTCTTTTGTAGGTGATTCTTTGAGTCTCTTGGACATATATTTTGGTAAGTGAAGTATTCTTTTTACTTAAATCAATTCTTTTAGCGAAATGTTTGCTAATATTTCGTCTTCACTTTTTTTAGAGTCATCTGGACGCGTTAGATTTAGGTAAGATATTTTTTTTACTTTGTTATTTGTTTTAACAAAATAACGAAACTTTTACTAGTAACATTTTGTTTTATTACTTTTTTTTAGACAGTTTCTTCAAATATCTATGGACATGAATTTCGGTAAGGTTGGAAATCCGGTTCTCCATAAATGCATTACGGTATGTGTTTAAATATTTTTTCTTTGTCTTTTTTTTTATTTTTAACAAAATGTAACGTCTGCTAATATTTTGTTTGTTTCTTTAGTTGCAGATTTTAGGCAGCTTTTGGGTGACGAAACGACTTATTGCTCCGGACTTACAACGGTTCCCGTTTCCCTAGTATAGTACATTAGATACATAGTGAATTATTTTCCTCTGCGTATTTTGACCATATTATTTTTGGAATTCAAGTATACATAGGCTTGATCTTGTGATTCCCTTCTGTCAATTTCTTATCAAGTATAAGCATATAAAATATATTTGTAAAATAAATTTTTATAATCACACGAATACGGGTTGTATTATACGCTTTCTAAATGTTTAGAATGTGAAGTGAGTATAAAATTCTTCTATATAATAAAATTACTATAGTATGATATTGAATAAATACTTTCAAAAATAATATAAATTGTTGTTGATTTCAAGTACTGGTAAAATTTATGAAATAAGAAGTCAACTTTTATAAAAATATAAAGAGGATGTGTTTGCATTTTATTGTTTGGTTGATAAAATTATTAATATAATAATTTCATCTTTATACTACTCTAATAATATTCTTTGGCTAAATTTGATAAAATTTGACATCAAAATCTCCAATATGTGCAAATGTAGAATAAATAAAATATTCCTAGATGAAGGCCATTATAAATCATGAACATTAATGCAAAACAAATATTATAGTATTTGATCCCATGTTATTAAATTAGAGACTCATTTAGGACATTCAGTTACATTTTCTATTTATTATAATAATTGTTCTTGAGTTATTCACATACTGACTTTATTCAATATAATTAATGAAAATTGTTAAAATAAAAGCAATTTTAAAATAAAAGTACTATACAGTAGATGAAAACTTTATCCAATATGAGTGACATTGCAAATTGTGTTCTCTAAATTCAAACTAAGTTAACTAAGTTATTATTAATATAAAAATAGGTCACTTCCTTTTTTGTGAGAGTACTAGTTTTCATCACGGGGGCGACGAAATAGACATCAGATCACTAAACAAAACACAGGTCGCTGAGATAAATATAAACTGTGTGCTTCCCTAATAAATTTTGTTATCATTTAATTCAAGAGTATTTATACGAGGTTGTTGATTCATTATGATATTTAAAACAGAAACCATATAAAGAATACATCCAGCACTCAATAATTCAGTTATTTCATGAAATAATTGTTTCCTTTCAAAAATAAATAATTTACCTAGTAGAATTTGTATAAAATATAAATATTTCTATAAGAAAATAAATTGCTATCATCTGTTATATATATAGAGAAATTGTCTTTATTTCATATCATAAAAAAAATCAGGTCGGGAAGCATTTAACATAATAAAAATGATAGTTTATTACATTTAATATATAAAAGAATAAAACCGTGTCTTACATAGTTTGATAAAGTTCAATTGAATATTTAAGAATAGCATAAGTTATATCTCACTGTAATAATTATAATAAACCGAACGAGTTCAATCAATGTCCGTAAGCCTATTCAATTTTGATCGTTCGGATTGTTGATCGGGTTTTGAGTTGATTATTGGCTAACAGGATTGTGAACTGAAAAGTAGAATTTTTTTGATCGTTTTAACAGAAAATAAAAACGCGCTTTTGAACGAAACTGATACAAGAAAAATTAACATAACATGAATCAAGTACAAATTAGCGGAAAAACTTCTATTAAACGTACTAATACTGACTCAAGAAAATATGAAAAAAAATTTATTAATTTTTGAAAAAAAAAAATCGATCAATACGACCTGTACGACCTGATAAAAATCAAGATCGACAAACTCTCCGATCACATGTTGTAAAATTGAACAGGCCTAATAATACAATCCGAACATTCATCAGAATAAAAAGTGTAAACTTGCCCTACAATAATATATAAATTTTTATAAATTTATTAAATTTAAAATAGATAAGAGACATATATATTACAGAATTCACCTGTTTGTATTTTCTTAATATACCTCGAAGAAATAAATTCTTGTTGATTCGGGCAGTTTATAGGCTCTGGTAAATTCTTATGGAAATTGAGAAGTCGACTTGTATAAATAGCCTGTGGGTGTGTTTGTATTTTTGTAAATAAATCCGTAATGTTGGTTGATTCGTTAAGATTATACGATAATCTTGGACGTGTTTCATTTACTTGTGATTCATTAAAATTATATGATAATCTTTTTAATGGAATACTTTTGTATGCATTTAAATGATATGATAATGTATGAAATACTTCTTCAGAAGTTGGTCGGTTTTCTGGAATTGCGTCCCAACATTTTTTAATTAAATTTTCTAAAGAAGTTGGAGTTTCTTCTCTAATATTTGGACGTAAACCTCGACAAATATCCAGTGCGAGATAATGATCATGTGGTTGATTATTGAATGGAGGAATTACTGTAATTATTTCATTTATAATCACACCTAATGAATATACATCAGATGCTAATGTATGTGGTTTTCCACGTAATATTTCAGGTGCCATATATGGCATTACTCCATAAATATTCTTTTTGGTAGAATTTGATAAAATTTCATTTGCTGGCATGCAAAATCCAAAATCTCCAATATATGCGAATGTAGAACCAATGAAAATATTTCCTGGGTGAAGGTCTTTATGAATTAACTCGTGAACATGAATATTATTAAGTGCAAGACAGATATCATATATTTTATTTAGTCTTTGATCCCATGTAATTATATTAGCAGTTCGTTTAAGATATTTTCGTAAATCGCCATTTACCATATATTGTAATACTAACGTATAATTGTTAGTAATAGGATCTTGAGTAATTCCAAAACATTTTATTATGCACATATAACCACTAACTTCGTTAAGAAATTTTATCTACAAATATTTAAAAACATATGAATTATGCATATAAAAGGTAATATGATTGATTTTTAAATTCTTTTTATACGTACTTCATTTAGTAAATCTTCACTTATATTTTCTGAATTATTCAATACTTTTAAAGCGACTGTTGTTGGTCCATTTCTTCTCCAACTATTAGATAATTGACTCCACTTTCTAATTTGTCCATCTATCCATAAAGCTGAATATACTTTTGCAAAACCTCCTTCAGCAATGTAATTAATATTTGTAAATTTATCATATGGAATCCATTCTAATAATCCGTATCTTCTAACCGAAAGTTGATTATCTTGTATTAATTTATCAATAACTTCATTCCTACTGGTCCATTTATAAAAATCTCTTTGAAAATATTTGGGATTACAGGATAAACAACCATCAAAACCCTCATGTACCTTAAGACATTCTTTACACTTTCCATATTCTATACGCTTTTTTTTAATAATATCAATTTTTTTATCATAACAATCACAATAAGAACGAAGTTTACGCTCACATTTATTTACTCCATTATATCTTATATTATTTATAAGAGTTTTCCTATTTTCTATAAGATATTTTGTCTTTTCAAATCGTTGAGCAATTTGTCTAAATATTCCCAAACCACTATTTAATTTGAAATAAACATTTTCGTAATTCTTTAAAATAGTTTGTAACTCTTTTAATTCTTTTAATTCTTTTGTTTCTTTGTTGTATATTTTAAAATAAAAATTTTCATAATCTTGTAATTTAGGCTGTAATTCAGACTTCAATTCATTTAATTCTTTTATTTCTTTAACATAACAATCATAACAGTAATTACAATGATACTTTATACCACATTTCTCACATAAAATGTAATCAAAATCCTTGTATTTTACTAGTCTATCATCTTCGTCTAAATCATAATCTGGAACTTCACCTTTTTGTTCTTTAGTAAAATAATTATCAATAAATTTATTTTCACTAATCCATTTATTAAAATTTTCAAGAAATTGTTGAAATTCATAAAACGGGCAACAATTATGATTATTTCCTATAAAACATACTTTGCATTTATCATTTATCTTCTGATTATTATAACAATGTTCACAATTATAATATTGTCTATCGATTTCCTTAATACATATTTCACATAAAATAGGATCATATTCCTTATACTTTGCTTTTCTTTCTTCTAAACTTAAATGATAATCAAATGTGCTAAAAATTATAACATTTGGTCCATATATCATATAAAGTTTTTTATTAATATCAGCTTCTTTGTCGTAACAATAAGTGCAATAATTAACTTGTTTATCGACTTCACCATTACATTTTTCACATAAAATGCCATTAAAATCCATATATTTTACTCTTCTTTCTTCCAAATCTAAGTTATAATCTGATGTTTTAAAAATTCCAAAATTTGGCCCAAATTTCATAAGACCTTTCTTATTAATATCAGTTTCTTTATTATAACAATCTTCACAACAATAACTTCGCGAATCATTAATATGTTTATTACATTTTTCACATAAAATTCGATCAAAATCCATATATTTTACCCTTCTTTCATTTAAATTTAAGTTATAATCTGATGTTTTAAAAATTACAAAATTTGGCCCAAATATTATAAGATCTTTCTTATTAATATCAGTTTCTTTATTATAACAATCTTTACAATAACAATAACTTCGCGAATTTTCAATACATTCATTACATTTTTCACATAAAATTCCATCAAAATGCCCGTATTTTATTCCTCTTTCTTTCAAATCTAAATTATAATCTGATGTTTTAAAAATTCCAAAATTTGGCCCAAATCTTATAAGACCTTTCTTATTAACATCAGTTTCTTCTTTATAACAAACTTCACAATAATAACTCCACGAATCAACAAATTGTACATTAATACATTTTTCACATAAAATTCCATCAAAATCCTTAAATTTTGCTTTTCTTTTTTTCAAATTTAAATTATAATCTGATGTCTTAAGAATTCCATAATTTAGTCCAAATAACATACGACCTTTTTTATTAATATCAGTTTCTTTGCTACAACAACTCTCACAGTAATAGCCATAACAATAGTCATTTTTACCAATTCCTATAATGCAATTTTCCATACCAATTGCTTTAATGCAATTCTCGCATAAAATAAAATTTAAATTACTACACATTGCTTTCCTTTCTTTTAAATTTAAGTTGTAATTTAAAATTCTAAAATTTGATCCATATTTCATATGAGCTTTTTTAATAATAAGAGTTTCTTTACTATAACAATCTGTGCAAAAATAATATTGTTTATTAATTTTTTTATTACATTTTTCACAAAAGATATAACAATAATTCTCATATTTTGCTTTTCTTTCTTCTAAATTTAAATCATAATCCGATGTCTCAAAAATTTTGCAATCTGAACAACTATAAGAGATATTTGACTTAAAACAAAATTTACATATTCCATAATTCATACGATGTTGTTCATTACAATCGGTTTCCTTATTATAGCAATTATAACATATAAAATTAAACTTAGCAATTTCTTGATCACAAACTTCACATGTGACATGGTCATATCTGTTAAATTTCAATTTTCTTTCATCTAAATTCAAATCATAATCTAATATCTTAAAAACTCCAAATTTTGATTCAAATGCATCATATTTATTAATAAGTTGGTCGATTTCTTCAATATTCTTTTCTACCGACATGATAAATGATTTTGAGCCTTTACTGTTTGGTAAGCTCAACGGGATTTAATTAGTTCTACAGAATATACAAATTTGGCCGTTGTTTATATTCACTTGATTTAATTCCTGTTATAAATTATGTATAGTCAATTTTTATGAATGGTACACGCAAAATTTTTTGATGAATAAAAGAAGTTATTTTTATAATAATTTAAAGAAAAAAAGAATACAATTTTGGAATATTCTTTTCTGAAGTTGTTTGTTTACAAAACTTCTGAAATAAGAATAATCTTTAAATTTAAGTTTCAATGAATTTCTATACTTAGTAATTTTGGAAATTTGCTATAGAAGTCTTGGCTTTGTTGTTGACAAAAATGGTATGGTGCTGTAATAACTCCACCCCAGCCCTTAGTTATATAGGATGTAGTGCACGCCCACTTAGCTTATGGGGTGATGATCAGCAATACAGTATGTGAGATGGATGACAAGAATTCTGAATTCTACGAAGGAATTCGAATGATCGGCAATGATTTGTGGCAAAAAGTGGCAATTTTTTTACGTATTTCTTTATTCGGTTTTTTTTTCTACGCACCTGCGCAAAATGCAGGGTGCATAAATTATATATAAAATTTTAAAGTCTTATTAATACTTTTACGCATGGTATTAAAAATTAATGGTGACGCGTATATTATTTTGTGTTCACCTTCCCCTTTCTTCTTTCTCTCACCTTCCCCTTCCCTCTTTCTTTCTCCTTCCCCTTTCTTCTTTCTCTCACCTTTCCCTTCCCTCTTTCTTTTACCTTCCCCTTTCTTTTTTCTCTCGCCTTCCCTTTCCCTCTTTCTTTTACCTTCACCTTCCCTCTTTCTCTCCTCTTCTCTCCTTCCTCTTCCTCCGTGCACCCTATATAATATTTTATAAATTCTCATGTAAATATAATTAAAAAAACATGCATAGAATAATTTTCATAAATAAAGATTATCTTCTGTCTCTTATACACATCTAGATGTGTATAAGAGACAGTTGGGACTTTAAACGCACCTACAAAATTGATAAAATAATTGAGTTAAAAGAGCATTGTTATAAACCTCTAAATAAACCAAAATCTAACGCTTCTAACTCAACACCTACACTATTAAATTCAATGTTATACAGTCTAACCTCGATATACCGATATTCGATATACCGATATACTATTAAAAACTTGATATACCGATAAAATTTTATTTTCCCACTATATGTGAGGACATATAAATATCGGTATAACTTTGATATAACGATATTTTCTAAAAATTTCATATATGTCCCGACATATCGTTATATAAAGGTTTGACTGTACATCTTCATTACTTCTTTTTTTCGATTTTGATTCATTGGACAAGTAGCGCGATTATGACCATTCTTACTGCATAAGCCACAGGTGGTCTTCCTTTAGGACGTCGAATTATAAATTTCCAATTGGAATAACATTTTCCTGATCTACTTCTTGCTCATCAATAATAACTCGATGTTGGTCCTCATGTGTATCTATATTATGGTTTGATCCAGTAATAAAAGATTCGTCACAACTCTTGCAAGCAATCTGCTTAGCTTGATTAGGGGACTGCCAGAAATGACGTCATTTCCTAAGGGGGAGGGGGGTTAAGACCATGATGATGTTACACATCTTCCATTTTTAGACACTTGTAGTTAATATAATTCTAGCCAGAATTATGTTTTAATTTTACATTTCCTAAAATGAATGATGACATGGGGAGGGGGGGGGCAAAAATCCTAAAATTTAAATTACGTCATTTCTGGCCATCCCCTTAGTCAAGCCCCGTATATTAACATAATATAATTGCTGTTTTTTAAGAGAAACATATTGATTACCATTAAAGTTAAAATTATCATCTGTCATCTGGTATATTTCCAGTAAAATCATTGGTAAAAATTCATCATCGCTTGAAAAAGAATCTGAATCACTCATATTAGTTATCAGAAGGGTAGGGAAGTAAAGAATAGTATTTGATGAAGAAAGGGAAAAGAGAGTGAGGAAAGAGCGAAGGAGAGAGTGTGTGAGAATAAAAATAGTTTAATTGTTGCCTAAAAGGTTATCAAAAAGCTATACATGGGACAATTGGGACATCAGATCGTGTATCCATTAAAATAAATTTAATATTTTTTTATCATGCACATAAAAAAAACCGCGCATGGGTGCATTACAAGCATGATGCGTAAAATACAAATTCTCTTCTTTATTAATGAGTGAAATTTACAAATCAATAGAAATACCTAAAGCTAATATTCTAAGATAGAATATTAACTTTATAACTAAATTTACTATCTAAAAGGACTACTTAAACTATCTTCTATTGACTCTAATAACACTAAATAAGGACTAAAAAATATGTACACGTAACTTTATCTAACCCCTATATCTATGACCTCTCAAAGATTTGCAGTTTCAAATCACCAGTTATACAATTAGTTAATTGAATAAATATTGGTTTTTGTCCCGAACTTGAATTGCAGAGTTTATATTATACATTGCTATATGATTAACGAATCACTAACGACATATTGTAAATTGTAATTTATAAATTCCTACCATAGTTAATGATGAATTAATGTTGAATTGGATCATATTAGTGATCTAGAAGTCTAGAAAGAAACAGTCACGAATTGAATACGGAGTTAATGGCATTAACTCAACACATTATGTGTATTAATGCGCGTCATTTGATTCAATGTATTCAATTATTATGGAATTATTACCATGATGAAATCTTTTATAATAAATAAAAACCCTTCTAAAGATGCGTTAAAATTCATCAGTTGATTCTTACAAAGTATAATATTATATTATAAAAAAGAACTGTAGTTTGATATTGATTATGATAAATATGTTCGTTAAATTAGAAAAAAAGGCTAAATTTTTAAATTGTTAATTTTAAAAATTAAAATATTAATATTATAACATATCTAATTTCTAGAAGTGATAATAATAAAAATTTTCTCAAGTACCACATTTTCATAATTTTGTCATTTAATATTAATGTGATTTTTATGTTTAATCTTAATTTTTTTCTTTAATATTTTAAGTAAAATCATTCAAATGATAATCTTGTAATAAAGTTTCTAAATTTGAACTATTTTTTTTTTTCTAAAAAAGATTCAACAGGTCTTTCATTACCATTTTCTGATAAATGAATAATACTAACAGATTAGGCATACTTTCCTGAATGATTTCTCATAAAACTTTTTCTTAAAGATATACAAGATAGGAACATATCTCAGTTTGTACTAAATATAGAAAAATAATAAACAAGTTAAAATCGCTATAATTTTCATTAAACATTGTTTTTTTATTCGCCATAAATTTTTTATATACCATAATATCAGCAACTACTATTAATAATCGACGAAAATTATCAAAATACTATTACTAACTAACAATTTTCCTGTTTTCGCATGTTCTTGTAATTTTATATTTTAATTATACGTTGAAATTTTTCACGATTTTCATCGTTAGCGCTTCTTCATATCCTTTGGGTTCTTATTTACGTCTTCATTAATACTATTTAATCTTCTGTTAGATAACTCGTTTAGATTCTCACACTCTTGTACTTTTTTCGCTAACAGGTCTCTTTTTGTCGCTTCGTCCCATTCTTCTCTTGATAAGTTCTAATCTTTTAATTGCTGATCCGAAATATTTTGTGGAATCGTCCAAAGCTTGATTATTATTATCTCTAATCTCTTGATGTCTTTTATGTCTTTTGGATTCGTATGAACTATCCAAACTTTTTCAGATTCTTCTTGTTCTGTGGATTATTTCTTTATAACTAATTCCAATTCTGTTGATTTGTAAAAGACGTTAAAAGTACTACTTTACCGTCAAATCTTACTTTTTTGGCGTAAATACATTATATCCTTGAATAACAAATTTGTTAATAAAAGCTCAATCCCGTCTTCTTTATCCAGAATTTTATATACTTACCATTTTTGTGATTGTTTAATATCCTTGAGCGAAATATTTTCATTAAACCATCTAAGTAAAAGTAGCTTATTATGCGTATCTGACTTTAAAATCGTCATCATATTTTTTCAATAAAATCATTTCAGCTTTAACAGTTTGGTATTTATTTAATTTTTTAAACTTTAATTTATTTAAATATACTAACTTTTTCAAAGCTTCAATGACTTCATTTTTTTTATTTTTTTTTTCATCATACCAAATACAGTATATCAAAATATCACGTGTCAATATACTATAATTCTTGCTAATCTGCTGATCTTTTCTTATTCTTGCCGAAATTAAGATTTTTTTCTATTCAATTTTGTCAATTTTTTATCATTCTCACTTATGATTCGTTCTTTGATATGTTGCTGCGCCTTACGTAGGCACTGGCGAAGGTTCGAATTGTCTTTTCAACTCTTTTAACGTCTTGAACATATATTTCCGCACTAGATTTCAATAAAAGTTCAACCGTTTCGTTGTTTGGGCCGGTATCTCGACTCAGATTTTGAAAAAACTTATAACTTCTCTTATTTTTATCAAAAAACCTATCTAGTTTTTGTTCAAAACTTATAACATATAAAACTAAAATTTTTTCAATTTCGTGATTACAATCTTCACATATGACACGATCAAATTTAAATTTCATTTTTCTTTCTTCTATATTTTAAATCATAATCTAATATCCTAAAATCCAAATTTTGGTTCAAATATTTCATCATGTTTATATTAATAAGTTTGGATGGTTTCTTCAATTTTCTCTTCTACTAACATGATTTGAACCTTACCGTATTCGGGCTCAATGAAATTTATCCAATTATAATTTGTAGTCCAAAATTTATTCTGATCGAATATTTAAATTTGAGCGTAATTGTACTATTGATTCACCTCTCATAAATAAATAATTCTTACAGCCAATTATTATTGATTGATTTTAAGTATTTCAATAGTTCACGCGATGAGTAAAACAGTTATTTATAATAATAATTTATAATGAACAATAAGAAAAAACAGAAATATTCTTTTCTGAAGTTTTTTACAATTGTATAAACATAAATTCTTATGTCCAATTTTCCATGGAAATTTTGAAATTGTTGTTGTTACTTGATCCGTAATATCGGTGATTGTCAAATTGAATATGAATGGACAAAGTCAATTCGTATCCCGGAAGATTCCGGTATTACCGGTTCAACGTAACTTATTTGTGTACCATACAAAAATTTTATATTATATGTTTTTCTATGCGATTAATGAGAATTGTTGTATGATTAATGACATGAATGCCTCACGATTTTCTACTGTAACGGATCATATTAGTGATCTATAATTTTGGAATTCAATCCCATCAATTCAACCTTGCATATTCTCATAAAACACAAGATGAAACATTCACTGTTCGTTAAATACTTTCTATGTTTGTACAAGGATAGGTATATGCTCAATCAGTCGTAGAGAAATCTAGATATTATACAATATATTTAGGAGAGGATAATGAGTATGATATGAGTAAGTATGGTTATATGGTACCTATCTATAGTTCTATACTGCATATTGACCATATCATATACAATCACGGATCAGTCGGATCACACACCTATATATATACATACTCATTATTAATTCACCATCCTTCATTAATAAATTTTATTTGCTATATTTTTTTATTATTATTTTCTAATATAGTGATATTTACTACAAAAATAATAAAAATAATTTGTTAATAAAATATTAATTGTATTTAAACTTTTCTTTTAATTATTCGAAATAAATCATCCCTGGTGATAATTAATTTCAAAATTTCAAATTTCACTTAAGCTGCACTAATTATAGATTATTATTATAAATTTACTGCTATATCGATTTCTCTTTATTTAAAGAAATATAATATTAAAATTTTATAATTAAAATTTTATAATTTCCTATTAACTGTACAGTGCCTGGAAAAAAGTCAGTAAGCACGTGATGTCGATCAATTTTAATGCGAATTTTTAAAATTAAATAATTCATAAATTACTACGCCAAATTTAATATTTTTTTTTTTATTTGAAAGACAAAGCCTTCAACTTTTTATTAATACTTTGTTGGGTAACCTTTACTATTTATAACAGCAGAGATACGACGAGGCATGCTACTAATAAGATTTTGATATTTATCAGCTTCAATATTTGACCATTCCTCTTGAAGTATTTCCCATAAATTCTCCCTGTTTTTTGGTAATGGCTTATGTGCCCGCACCTGCCTTTCCAATTCATCCCATAAATGCTCTATAGGATTCAAATCTGGGCTCTGTGCGGGCCAAGGAAGGCTGTTTACTTCATTTTCTTCTTCCCAACTCTTAACCACCCTTGCAGTATGTATAGG